CCGGGACTGCTGCAACTGGGTACAACACACAGAGAGAGGAACTGACATTTTTCTTTGCACTCTGTGACCCTGGAAGCTTTGTTTACCTGGCCATTAGCGGCCAGGAAACCAGCCGATCAGACCGATCTGTGTCTGATTGGCTGCATTGGAGGTCAGAGGAGAGATCTTGGGTCTAATAGACCCCAGACCTCACCATAAAGAAGACCTGTTATGGCCCATGCTTTTACAAGGATGTTGCTCATCCCTTGTGAAAGCAATAAAGTTGATTAATAAAAATAAAGAGACAGCGTAAAAAGAATATAAGAAGTTTCAAATAAATAATTTAAAGTGCCCCCCCTCCCCCCCCCCCACCCCCGTGCTTATGCGAATGCAACTCATACCTAAGTCCTACATCCATGTAAATGGTGATTGCACCACACTTGTGAGGTACTGTTGCAAATGTCAGCGCAAGAGCAATAATTTTAGCTCCAGACCTCCTGTGCAACTTTAAACTGGTAACTTGTAACGGCTGTTAAAATGTTGCCTTTGGAAATTTTTAGGTACCGTAGTTTGGCACCATTCCATGGGCGTATGTAATTTTAAAGCGTGACATGTTAGGTATCTATTTACTCGGTGTAAAATCATCTTTTATATTTTAACAAAAAATAAGGTATTATATAGTGTTTGTGTGAAATAAAATTCATTAACATGTATTTTTTCCCAAAAAATTGCTTTTGAAAAATCTCAACTACCATGTGAAATAAAAAAAATTGCAACACTCACCATTTTATTCTCTAGAGCCTCTGCTAAAAAAAATATATTATTTTTAGAGGTAATTAATTTTTTAGCAAAAAAGTACTGATTTTTACATGTTGGAGAGAAATGTCAGAATTGGCCCGGTAGGGAACCGGTTAAAACTGCCAGTGTGAGTACGTCAATAGTCACTGTCCTAGAACAAATATGGAGAAATTAGACTTTTGGATGATTTTCATTTGCTGCATACTTGTCTGGTTCTATGAGACAGACTTATTGAAGGTAGACCAGGGGCGGACTGACAACTCATAGGGCCCCCGGGCAATAGGGGATCATGGGGCCCCTGTGTCCTTGCCCAAACTCAAAAAAGCCTATGAAAAAGGTACCAGGGGCATCTTGTGGGGCCCCCTACTGACCCCGGGCCCTCGGGCAGTGCCAGAGTTTCCAAATGGTCAGTCCGCCCCTGAGGTAGACACAGCCAAGCAGCCAGCATTTGCAAAAGAAAACAAGAAAATCAGCAATGGCAGCCCTCACGTACAGTATCTGAAGTACTTTATGCTAGTGATCATGAACAGACTGGATTGCCTATAGCGTAACACAATTTTCTTATTTATCTATTTTATACATACTTCATTGAGATGTGAAATGTTACATACTAGGGATAGATATACAACATTATGATTTCATAATTGCACAGTCAGAAAAAAATTCCCATTTAGTTCAGAAGAAAAATCAGAAAGTATGTATTTGTTCCCATAAAAACTGACACATCAGTATAACCGCAGTGCTCCCTGGAAATAGCACCTCCACTAGAGTCAAAAACAGCCCAATGCCCCCCTATAATATACTTAAATATGCTTAGGCTACTGATAGTTTTCCAAGAGAAGCATGTCAAGACCATTTACATGAGATGTGAGCCAACTAGGTGCCGAGACTCCATTCCCTATCAAATAGACCTGAATACAGACCAGAAGGAATTGAGACATTTTACATAATGCCCTTATGTGATTCTGGTAATATACAGGTAGTGTCAGGCAAAAAGAATCTTTATCTGCTCCCTTCCTGACAAGCACTGAGGTTAAGGGTATTGGTGGAGTACTGGGCCCTAGTTTTAGAAGTAGTGTTCGAGATTGAGAGGAGTAGTCTTCAAGAATTAGAAGGGAAGGCAGCTTTCTAAGTAGTGGTGTGCAGGAGTGGGCCTGTGGGATGCGAAGGATAAGTAAAGAAAAAGAAGAGCACCAAGCAAATTCCTAGTAAGTCCAATAGGTCCTTGTTATTGTCAACATAAGTCACAAAAGTATCTAATGTATTTCAGCTCTCTGGTCCCCAATCATCAACGTTTATAAGGGTGGGGAAACCTGTATAGTATAATGGACACAGGTAGGTGTATTAGGGGTATTCTGAGATGTTCATGTAAGGCTCACCATAATGTTGATAATAATAAAGACTGAACATATCAGGAACTTTTGTGGTGTCTTCCTCCTTTTACTCTACTTACCATTGGCCAGCATTGAGGCATGCAGAATGCTCCATTTCCTCTTGATGTCATTTGGACCGAAAGTGGAGGGGATATTCCTTATCTGACCCTAGCTGCATTATATGAGCCATTAGAGAGTTCAGGGCATCACAGGGGGACCTTTTCACCTACATCTAACATTGCTCAGTAAATAAGGGTTTGTTCTTGGAAATTACCTGAATGTGGGAGAGCCAATAATTCTTCTAACACAGAAGCCCTTATTTTGTCCACTACTGTATATAACATAAAGGTTAAAAAAAGGTGACTAAAGTAGAAGTCTAGTCAAAAGCTAACTAAGCTCAAAACTACTCCCGCCCCAATTCTAAGCCGTATGTTAACTATTCTGTAAAGGAAAGATACTTGTACTTATCTAAACTAAGAGTGCTCTAGTCCAGTCACATGATCTCCTCAGTGGCTGGCTTCGGTGTAGAGGAGAGGCAGCAACAACAGCTGCAGTGCCTGGATGGTGACGTCACTCATAGACTTACTATGGGGCATCCATTGTCCACTGTCCCTACTCTACACTGAAGCTGGCTCTGGGACTCAATCTCGTGACCAGACTGGAGCCCCCTTAGATTAGTTAAATCTTTCCTTTACAGAGTAGTTATCATAGGGCTTAGAATAAGGGTGGGAATACGGTTTAAGCTTAGTTAGCTTTTGACCCGGCTTCTACTTTAACCACTTGAGCCCTCCTTAGGATTTACCCCCCTTAATGACCAGGCCTCTTTTTGCTACTCGGCGCTGCACTAATTCAACTGATAATTGCGCGGACATGCAATGCTGCACCCAAACAAAATTTACGTCCTTTTTTTCACACAAATAGAGCTTTCTTTCGGTGTAATTTGATCACCTGTGCTCTTTTTATTTTTCACGCTATAAACAAAAAAAACCAAAAATTTTGAAGAAAAACAATATTTTTTACTTTCAGCTATAAAAAATATATAGTAAACTCAAAGTTGGTTACAAATTTAGGCCAAAATGCATTCTGCTACATTTTTTTGGTAAAAAAAAAACCCAATAAGTGTATATTGATTGCTTTGTGTGGAAGTTATAGCATCTACAAACTATGGTATAAATACTGCAATTTACGCCATTTTTCTGCTATACAGCGCTGCGCTAGTTTAACGGACAATTGCGCGGTCATGCAATATGGAACATAAATGAAATTTACATCCTTTTTTTCCCCACAAATTGAGCTTTCTTTTGGTGGTATTTGACTGCCTGTGCGGTTTTTATTTTTTGCGCTTAAAAAAAAGGCTGACAATTTTGAGGAAAAAAAACAATATTTTGGACTTTTTGCTATAAAACATGTCCAGTAAAAAAAAATGCAAAAATCAAATTTAGTCATAAATTTCTGCCAAAATGCATTCTGCGACATGTCTTTTCTAAAAAAAAAAAACAATACGTGTGAATTAATTGGTTTACATGAAAGTTATAGCGTTTACAAATGGCGGGAAAGATACTGGGATTTTTAGGGTTTTTTTTATACTAATAATGGCGGCGATCAGCGAATTTATGGCGGCGATCAGGGACTTATGGCAGCGACCAGCGACTTATGGCGGGACTGCGGCGGACATTCTGACATTGGGGGGTACTGACTTGGGGTCACTGACATCCCCAAAAACACTAATACAGTGATCAGTGCAAAAAAAAAAAAAAACACTGACACTGTACTAATGGCACTGGGGAGGAAGGGGTTAACTTTATTTTGCAGGGAAGGGTTATAGGAGTGAGAGGAGTGTTTTACTAGGGGGCGGGGGTGTGTGCTGCACAGGACAAGGCTGATCGAGAAAGAGAAACTGTTCTTTCTCGATCAGCTCATCCTCGAGCTGACAGGGAAAGTGACAGACAGCACAGCTACTGCAGCTGTGCTGTCTGTCACTGTTTGCCGCCGATCGCCGGGGAATAGCCGGTAAGGACCGGCTGTGACCCAGGCGACTCTCACATCTGCGGCGGTGAACGGCAGGACAGATAGGGCGGTGGCACGCCTCGCGCACGCCCCCTAGCTGTTTACAAAACACACGTTTTAAAACGTGGTTTTGCCTGCCAGTGCCACCCTGCCGCCGTATATCTACAGTGGCAGGGCGGCAAGTGGTTAAAGGATAAGTTCACCTTTTTACAAAAAATAAATGCACTTTTTTTTTTTGCGAGTGAAAAAATGTGCATGTACTCTTTTTTGTTTTGGGAGCCTGAAAAGCATTGCACCAGTGATCAGCAGAAAGCTTTTGCCATGCAGGACTCCTGCAGAGATGTCAGTGTATCTGTGTGTTCGCACCTAGTGCAGACAAACAGATACACTCTGACAGGAAGAATCAATTAACTACCACAGTGCTCAATAGCGCCATGATTAGTTCATTGAGAACCACAAGCCGACAGCCGCAGAATACTGTGAATGAGTGACGCAGCTTTTAAATTGTGACAGCTAGCGGGGGGCAGAAGATCCCCAAGTTAGCTGTCACAACGGGGGAGCAGGGGTCTGACCTTTCATAATATGTTACTTTTTACTCCCTGAATACGGGTGTAACATGTAACATGTTACAAAAGGTGAAATTATCCTTTAAATGTGGATCTGAAACAGTTTACAGATATACAGGTGCCTCCAAATTTTAATATCAGTTCACCTGAATTATCATTATTAACTCTGTTACCTATTAATAATACTATTAATACTATTAGTAATACTCCGCTATATCCATATTGATTGATATAACCAAAATAGAAGACACTGGTAATTACATGACAAAATAATTACCTTCTGAGCCTTGAGAAGCTCCTCTCTCAGGATCTCTGACCCCTTCTCCCTGATCTCCACAGAGGAGCTGCGTAGTCGAGATAAATCATAGGTAGGCTTCTCCATACCTCGTTCAGGGATTGATCTTGAAGTTTCAGGTTTAGAGGATGTAGTCCAATCTTCAAAAGGGGGTGAGTTCTGAAGCTGTGGACCCCCATCCAGGACAGAAGCCTGCCTGTGTGAAAACACAAGAAACCAAGCCCAATGGGAACAATATATTGAGAAAATGAATCTGACTTTTAAAAAAACAGTGACTTTAAAAATAATCAAGACAAAGGGAGAATGCAGAAAGAAAGCTAATATCACAGCCGCCAGGAAACTGCCCATGAATGAAGTTTCCTGTCATTCACATAGAATGCTTAGCTAGAGCTCGACATCCTCAATCAATGAGCAATTCATGCAATGTCTAACACAAAACCTAGAAATCTGTGTCATTCATTGTTCAGCATTATGTAGTACAATTATCCTGGAATATCAACAACACTCTACAAATGGGAAAATATTCACTCTCTGACACTGGAAAACATATAGACCCACAAGGAAGCCTCAGGGAGACTGAGAATAAAAATAAAAATAATAAACACATTTAAAAAAAATCAATAAAAACCATGGTTTTATTGAAAAAATATAAAAAAAAGTAAGTGAAGTAAATTCAATTTAGTCAGTATTATACAGTATATATTTAGAATATCCATGAAGATGTAATGGCTACGGTAAATAATTTTATAATAGAAAATTATACTAAATACCCTTATTCTCTAAAAATAATCCATACACCTCCACTACTTAATGGCCCGTAATCTTTTTTCATGAAATTGTTTCTTATTGTGTTTTTCTGCTTCCTTATACCTTCCTCAGTGAGCACCCAACCCTCTCCTTTTTATTCTTTTTTCCATTGGTTTGGAACAAGTAGTGCACATTAGTTACAGTCATGTGGATTGCTGTATACACACTACAAACCCCATAGTCCATCATCCATAGTTCATAGTCCATCTTGGGAATGAGCAGGAGAGGTTGGCAATGTTCTACATACAATGGGGACAATGGAAAAGAACACAGCCACCCTCTAAGAGATTTAGGGATTTCATAGAGGCTGAGAACAATAGAAGGTACTTTTTTGAATTAAAAACACATACTTGAGTAGATTTTTTTAAACCAGAGTCTAGTGTCACTTTAAGGAACAACACCAGCCCAAATGTTTTTCTATATTTGGAGTATCCTCAGGTTTTATGGCTGTCTGTGTCCCTATGGAGATTTCTCATTATTTCCTTTACCCAGGGAACAGAAAATAGGGAAATTATTAAAGTAAACAAAACATCTCACCTCTGACACTTTTCAAAGGAGCAGGTGTCCCTGTTGGGAGATTCCCCTTTTTTTCTGTTCAGGGGACAATTGCAAAATTTTGCATTTCCACTAACCTTCCCTCAGGATACAAATTTGGGAGGAACATACCTAACTGGCACACAGACACAACTAAAACACGTCAACGCCTTCCCCATGCTGTTCAAAACTAGGAATGTATTAAAGGACTTCTCCACTTTAGACTTAAACTGGATCTCAGCCATCCCCCTGTTTACACCCAGTTTCTCTAGGAACATCCATCAAGTCAATGACCTCCAATACATGTAATTTCAAAGATGCTGCCCACAAAGAAAACATGAAGCGATGCCTTTGCTCTAGGACAGTCATCACTAAATGGTGAACCGCAGCATCATAGGAGGATAGATAGTGGATTTTCTAGACCTGAGGTCTGCTCCACCTCCTGGCTCCCACATTCTGCCTTCCTGGCACAATAGGGTACAGGCACTGTGATAGGGACACCTGATGTAAGAGGGCACTCTGTTGGGGGCATTCTGATGGGGACACTTGGTGTAATGAGGCACTCTGATGGGGATACCTGGAGTAAGAAGGCACTCTCCTGGGGACATCTGATGTAAGGGGGAAGTCTGATGGTGACACCTGATGTAAGGGTGTACTGTGGTGGGGTCACCTGATGTAAGGGGGCCATCTGATGGGGACACCTGATGTAAGGGGTCAAGCTCATGGGAATAACTCATGTAAGAGGTATTCTGGTGGGGACATCACATGTAAGGATGAACTCTGATGGGGGATGGGGACACCTGATGTAAGGGGGCACTCTGTTGGGGCACTCTGATGGGGACACATTATATAAGTGGCCATTCTGATGGGGACACATTATATAAGTGGGCATTCTGATGGGGACACCTGATGTAATTGGCACTCTGATGGCATACCTGGTGTAAGAAGGCACTCTCCTGGGGACATCTGATGCAAGGGGGAAGTCTGATGGAGACACCTGATGTAAGGGGGTACTGTGGTGGGGTCACCTGATGTAAGGGGGCCATCTGATAGGGATATCTGATGTAAGGGGGTACTCTGATGGGGATAGCTGATGTAAGAGGGCACTCTGATGTGGATACCTGATGTAAGAGAGCATGCTGATCGGGTCACCTGATGTAAGGGGGTGTTCTGATGGAGACACCTGATGTAAGGGGGTGTTCTGATGGGGACACTTCATGTAAGGGGGCACACTGATGGGGACACTTGATATAAGAGGGCAAGCTGATGGGAAAACCTCATGTAAGAGGTATTCTAGTGGGGATATCTGATGTAAGGGGGGAACTCTGATGTGGATACCTAATGTAAGTGGGCATACTGAAAATTGACAATAAACAATATTAAAATGGAAGCAAGTATGCATTGCTTGTTTTTTGATAGACATAAAATGAATACATATATACTAGGAACTAAGTCATAGCATCAACTTGAAGTTCAGACCTACTGGAAGGAAATTTTACTGATTGGACACCCTACATAAAGCAGCTGAAGACCCCTCTTTTCTATCAGGAGTAAACTGAAGCAGGGAGCTACTAATACATCAAAATTGAAAACTCCAGGATTGACAAGTCACAAGCAACGTGTCATGGGTATTTATTAACACTGTCCTCATACAACCTAAGGCTGGTCATACGCTATACAAATTTCTTTACAATTTTCTGTCCAATTTCTGCCCAATTTCCTTTAGATTTACCTTCAACTATGAAGTGCAAGGGCCTGCCTAATTGGATAAAATTGAAAGTGTCGTTTGGGTTTGACCTCATATTATATGTTTTTTTAGTAAATCTAAAGCAAAATTCTCAATAAAATTGTATAATGTATGGGCAGCCTAACTACGAAACACTACTGAGCTGGTATTAGGTACCTATCAGAATAGTTGTGCCATACCCTCTGACTTTGTCCAAATGTTATAGGGACTGTGGCCAGATGGGCACCGTGTACCATCTTTGGTAGCAATGCCCCAAAGTACATGGATTCTGAATTAGAATGTACAACCTGATCTATTCAGTAGCAAGGGTCAACCTACTGAAAGTTCACAAATTTGTTGTGAATGTCCCTAAACATTAAAAGCAATTAGTGTTGATTATACTGTTGGCTGCCAGAATAGCAAAAAACTGGAGTTTAAGAGTCTGAATGAAAAGATGACTTTATTAAAAGCTAAGTAATCTTTCTGACCATATTTCATGTTACACCCACAGAGTCCCCACCCTCAAATCTCCCTCCTCCCACTTACAAAATCCAGGGGTCTTCTCCCCCGCAGTTTCTGTTATATTTTGCGGTTCTACCCACACAGCAGCATCATTCACAGAAACCTATGAATAAAAAAAACTACAAGTCCTATCTGCCAGTGGTACTGCCTGTAGTTCTCAATGGAACACAAGTGTGGTGACGCCACTGCACTTGTAGTTCATTGATAATTCTGGCAGCTCTGTAATGGAAGGTCCATGCCTCTGCACAGACCTGAGGTAGAGGAAGAATATACAGGAGGTAGAGCATTGTACCTGCAATCCAAATAACCCAGCTGTAATGCTTTGTAGGTTCCAGAGCAAAAAAATAATACATGCATTTTTTTCTCTTTGCAGTATAGGTGGATTTATATTTTTGTGAAATTGGTGGTATTCCCCTTTAATTTAAAATGGTTAGCAGTTCCTAGCTATTTTAAATGTCCCGAGTGGCACTAATTTCTCCACGATAATCTATGCCATTCTAAAGTCCACTGCTTCTTCCATCACTAAACTTATTAACTGGATTGTGAAGTGTTAGGACACAAGCATAGACAATCGGCTATGTGAGCTATCCGCACTACTCCAATGTAGAACACTTGGTCATTATTAGGGTCTCAGAAGACCGCACAGATGTCCTGCATTAACGAAACACAATTTACATTGATCTTACCCTGCTGTCCACATCCCACCAGCTGACACTCTCTCCTCCAGGCTGTCTCAGGGAGGGGACATCCAGAAAAAGGGTTAGCGAGGTCGGACGGACATAAGTAAAAGATGGAGGTGGCAGTTGAAGAAATGAAAACGGGATAGATGAAAATGAATGCAGAGAATAGGGGGGTACAGATGTTGGCGGAGAGCTGATGTTGCACCGTAGAGTTTCAGTGCATCCCACATAAGTATGGTTGTGTCTCCCGCCTGTCACTTCCTCCCACCCCCCCTCTCTGCGGCACACGGAGGAAACACTTCCAGCTGCAGGGAGTGAGGGTGGACAGGGGGAGAGGATGGGAGGAAGAGGGGGCTATATAGACAAGTGCAGAAACAAGGAAATGAACCCACAGCTGATTCAGATGCAGATAAGCAAAGCTGAAAAGAAAAGAAATGACATATTAGTACCTCCATATAGTAATATCAAGGATCTGATGTTCAATGATTGAATAAACATACCTACATGGCTGGCAGTGTGTATGTTCCTGTTAGGACAGCATTTGTTTGCATACAACGTGCAGGGTCCTTTGCTGTGCTGGATGATCAGGTAACTGTATAGTAGCTCCTAACCCCCTACACATGGATTTGGTCACATGACCTCCATCTGTTTCCCATTGCAGCAGTGTACGCTGCCTGCTACGTCACATGATTATCATGTGACACACCCAAGGGACATTTTTGGATAGAAGTGAATGCAAATTTCAGTTCCTTTTCTGAAAGCTAGTGAAAATCACTTTTACAAACAGCCAGCTAGAGAGCCAGAGAGGACCTAATCAG